TCTATTTCGGAAATATTTTCGACCAAGTTTGCCACCTATTAAGAAATTTAAAATCAGTTTAATTAAAAGGTTATATTAAATATTTTTATATGGGTGTAAAACGAGAGAGGTTTTAGTAAGTTTTATTTCTAAAATATTTTCGAAGATAAATTAGAATCCAATTAGATATTTTTGATATTTTTTTAGTGAGGTTTAAGTAATCTTTATTTCTAAAATACTTTTAAAGGTTATTTTATAACAACAATTGCCAACAATTCAAAAGTTCCAGTGCCGTTTAATTAGAGGTTAAATGAAATGCTATAATGCGGGTGTCAAAGGAGGGCCGCTAACTGCTTTAAAATATAATTTGGCTTAGTAAATTAGTTAACTGAATATTGAAAATTGACTCAGAATTAGTTTTAAAGCATTTACCACATTAGAAAAATATTTTAAATCAACTTTTGAATAAACTATATTTTTACATATAAAAACTGTCTACTAAAGATAAGTTGTTCTTTATTATGAAATAGCTGGATTTGTTAAAATTTGGCACAATTATTCACCACGTCCTGAGACATAATTTGTATCCCAGAATTCTCAGTATATCGACACTGGCTCGATTAAGATCTGAGTATTTTATATTAAATTTTATAGCAGCAAACCAAACACTTTTACTGACTGATTAACTCAGTGAGGGATTTATTATTTCAATAATTTCGGTCATTTTATACTTGAGAACTGCAAAAAAATTTCTTCTCATTACAAGATTTTTGCACATGTGCTTTGTATTCGGTTTGGTATCATCTTTTTTAGAGTGTAACATACTTTTAGGCATCAGAAATTCAACGAACCCCTTTTGTAGGAATCGGAAAAATAATCTGTCGCACTCAAATGGATTAAAGTAAGCACATACATACAGCACCCAGGAAATTCTTCACTCGTGCGCATCCTGAAAAGGCTGCCAACAGCGCATCAGCAATTGGCACACGAAGATCACAGTGAGAAGCAGTGTGTGCAAAAAATTTAATTCTGATCACACGACACTGACCAAAAATAATAACCAAAAAGAACGGCAGCCTGCTGGTATGTATTATTTAGTGACCGAAATGCCATGTCGCCATACGTTGCGTTGAAAAAAAATTAAATATTTATGAAATACGAGCATTTTCTCGCGAACAGAGTGGCGAGAAACTAATGCAGGGAGTAGAAAACGTTAGAAGTGTAGACGAGAAATGGCAAAAATAAAGAAAGCAACATTCAAGGCTGTAAGTATTTGAGTGTAGAAAATTCGTTCGCGTAAACGAAATAAGAATACAAAAATATCCTGTAATATGGTGAGCAACAAGTTGCTAGTGGTTCGGGAGTAGGAGGCGGGAACGTATATATAACGAATAAACATAAGCTCTTCATCGGGGATACACATGACTTACTCGTCTCATTGCGAACGTAAGCGGTAATAAAAAATCTTACAAAAGCAGTAACTCAGGAGGGGGAAAATTGGATAACAAAAATAGCGAATGGGCTGTAAGTGCATTTCCTACAGCAACAGTTGCTTAATTAAACACAGACATACAAATTTGAGGCAAAATTTAGTAATTAGGCCTTAAAAATTAGTTTCAAGAAACACCACTGAGTTTTGTTAGAAAAAAGCGTTAACTTGATTAACTGCAGGATTAACTCCGCATTAGGGTACCAAAAAGCCAAAGTGATAGCTTGACGAGCAAGAAAAAGTGAGGCGGATGTGTATTTAAAGCTAAATTAAAGCAATAAAAGCAAAATAGTCTGAAAAAAGTGCACCCTCCTCCAAAGTACTCGAAACATGAAAATAAATATAAAAAATGTGTTCAGCCTCTTTAAGACTTATCCACGCCGAGGCTGAGCTCAGCTGAAAAATTTACATACGCTGGATCTGAACTGACTACGGGGGAGGGGTGTTCTATATTGCGAACTGGGCTGGAGTCCTTTAGAGGGCCAAGTATCTCAGAGTCTTCAAGATACATCCAGAAGCTTATGAGTAAAATTCGGGAGAATCCCAAACTGAATAGTAACGAAATACATATATACATTCCTAAACCGGAAATAACGGAGTTGCGTAGCTTGGTTTTTCCCTGATGAATTTGCCGATAATACTTATAGTAGATCTTGATATATCTGCTGGCTTTGCTAATATGTGGCCTCCAAGTGCTTTAAGCCCAATAGCTGCTGGACACTTTCTTCGCTACCTTCTAGTTGACAGCTGCGGTAAGTTCCATTATACGGGAGCCCATTCTCTACGCATGCTTGCCTATGAGCCAGTGACCCGTAATTACTGGATGAAGTTCTAAATACTTCTGTCCTAGATCTATTAAGCTGTTCTAGTGCATTCGCTCTGTAATAGTCACGCAATTTATCTTTCAACGACCCCGAGAGGGCGACGCAGTACAACAGCCTTGGATTTCTCCAAGTACGCTCGTGCCTTCGCCAATTCATCCGCCTTCTTATTGCCTTTAATGTTTCCATGCCATGAGAAACACTCATTGACACAGAAACTGAGCATAATTCCATTACGCATTTCTGAACAAGCTGGGATTTGGTTACCGTTGATGCTGATGCTAACAGAGCCGCTTGGGCGTCAGTGTAATATATTGTTACTTTCTTTATTCTACCCATGTCCTTTCCTAGAACCTTACAAGCTTCAAAGTTGCCAAAGACTTCTGTTTGGAAGATGCTTGCATCATTCCCTAGAAGATGAGGCAAGGAGACGCCGAGCTCCTCGGAGTACGCCCTTGCCCAACGCGGCAATTCATATTTGAGCCATGGATATTGAGAGAGATTTCCTCTTTATCGGCCATTCTGCCTCTGCTGCACTCTCTTCTGTGTGGGAATCTCACTTTTATTTTATTGAAGCTGTGCATGAATTATGGGAAACTCTCTCCAAGTCTTGACTCTTTGAGCCTGATTGCACGTTTCTTGGCCACTTGTTCCAGGTGAAGGTCAACAGGGATTATGTATAAAGTTCTTTCGGACTCTTTGTAAGCTATCTATTTAGTTTTTTAAAATCATACTGTTTGTTTATATCCGACCCCGGCCTAAGGTGCCCTCGGTAGGTTAGAATAGGTCTTATGATGGCGCTATACATCCGCTTCGGGTTTAGTCTCCATTTTCTGTTAAAGATTCCCTTGCAAATAAAGTATGCTCTGTAGGCTTTCTGTCTAGGTTATTCGATGTTGATTTACTAGTTCAGTTTGGTGGCTAGCAAGACTCCGAAATACTTTGCGTAGTTTGGTAGATTTGTCTACGGGACAAAATCTACAGATACAACGTGTGATAACCATACATACCGTCAAAGACCCTTGACAAGCTTACGCTGTCGATGATGAGTAATGATTCCTGAGGGAAAGGCGTTTTTTCTCTATACTTTGATCCTTTCTCCAACCTTTAAATACAATGGGCTTGAGTATCTGAAATTCTCTGATTGATTTTATTGACCCACCGCTAATTCACTTCCAAGCAAATCCAAGTAAAACAAAAATATTTGTTGTAGACTTTTTCTTTACTGTTTGATTGATTTGTTTATTTAGTTATTAAGATAGTTTCGAAATAAGTTAGGAACACATATACATACATATGTACCTTGTAAGACATATCTTCAGCAGATTCCATTATAGGCTTACTTTTTTTTCATTAAAATACCAAGTAATCTTACATTTTCCACTTCCACCCACAATCACGTATTTTCCGACAAAACTCATTTCAACAAACACCTGCTGCCCGCACGTAAAAACATGCATGTGGCATATAAAAAGCGGGCATAAAAAGAAAATTGATGAATTCTTAAAGCCAGCGAACACAGGCGTCTCGAAGCTGAAAGTGGGAAGTGGTGGCAGGCGAGTGAACAAATGTGTTAACAACGATGAAATTTTTGTTTCTTCATTTTCTTTCGCACACAAAACCAATAAGAAATGTCGGTACTTACGAGTATAAATCGGGAAATTACAGAACATTATTCAAACTCAAATAGTAAAATAATGGAGTGCGCTGCAGTGAGTGTAAGGTAAAGCAAGATGGATATAAGGATTTTGGGTTATAAGGAAGAAGTTGCCAGGTAAACCGCAAGCTGCTGATGAGAATATATGTACATACATTTCTAAGTATGACTAAAAGCGGAAATTTGGCATGGTTGCGAAGGTAAATAGTTGGAGTCTGTGTAGACTTCTGCTTCACATACATAGATTTCTGCTGCGTTATATGAATTCAGCTTAACTGCGCTTCGTTAGCGCCGAAACTAAAATTCGAGCAGACAGATTGCTCTGCAGCAGAGTGAGACCGATAACTAGTAGTTCCAGCTGTTTGGTAAGTTTCTGTGCTGTGGTTATCGCAAGCTCCTTTCTGCCGACTCTTGTGCTATGCTGCGTTACAGCGTTGGCCATCAGTTAGCTGTCAGTTCATTTTATGGTTGCACGAATATGAGAAAACGTAAAGGCTATCAAGGACATCAGTAGTAGTACAAACACAATCTGCAGCAGCAGCAAAGCAGCCACCGGCCACCAGCAATGTGCAAGAGATGCTTGTAAATGAAAAGCAATGAAATTACTGTTTGCCAAGGTTGAGTTGGTAAGCAAAAAATTGTTGAAGGCACATGCAGAGTAGCAACAGAAGCAGCAACGGTAGCAGCAGCACAGGTGAGCTGGAAAACAAGCATGGGATGGAACAAAACACAGTATAAACATTTGTGTGAATGAGTAAAGGAATCAGTAAAGGAGTGAAGAATGATGCGATGATTGCTGTTGAAAAATTAACGTCGAACATGCAGTCCGAGGCAACTAAGAGACTATAAGAGTACAAAGACTTACAGTTATTCAAATCTACAAATTTATATACAAAACTCTTCTAGTAGTTGCTGTTACTCTCGCTTTCCGTTCACATCCCATCTCTTCTTTGCTACCCTCGAATGCCTTGTGAGTGAACCCTGAAACCTGATCACTCACACTCGTTGTGAATGTGCTTGTTGACCTTTTATAAATGAAATTAAATGCCAACAGTTACAAGATATCAACGGCAGCGTTATCGCTTCAAGGTGCTGGCGGCGCAGTAACTTCCAGTAACGAAGTGGGCGATGTGACAGCCGCAAGGTTGTGGCTAAGTGGCATCAACAGTTAGGCCAAGTCAGATACGCTATAACCATATGCTCGGCAGTTGTGTGTGAAATGAAGTTGTGTATGAAAATTAATACGGGTATTAACAAGTTTTGCAGTGTCTCCAAGTGCTACCACGAGAGCGTACGTAGATAGTTTCCAACAAATTTGGTTTCAGTGTTATTTGAGATAGGCACGAAGAACTTTCGCAAACATGACAATGCACTCGCGTGCAAACATATATGTATACATCGGCGTAGCCAGAATGAAATTTAGGAGGGGGGCTCGACCCTATTAAGCTGGCATTTCAGGGTACTATTTTGTATATATGTAAGGAAAATTTGAAAGTTAGAGGGGGGCTCGAGCACCCTGGCTACGCCCATGTATGTATATATATGTATATGTACATTAGGGTGCATCATTCCTACTTACAAAAGAAAAGTACCGTTATTTCATCAGAAAAACTGAATTTATCTTTTAAGACATACGCCCAAATTTTCGGAAAAGTATTGAGATTTAAGTGAGAGCTTGACCTATTTCAAAAGTACCTGCAAAAGTTGAGTTCTTTTATGAATAAAATTAGTTTTTAAAACATTTTTTCTAAAAAATCACTTCAGATGACAAAAGAGTTTAAGCTTAAAAGGTCAGCAAAAAAATGTTCAACAATTTTATAAACGGAATCTAAATAAGGAGATTTTTAAAGTATTTCTAAAATATAATAAATTTTATAATTCGGGCAGAAAAACCTTAAATTTTTTGGTGATCCACCCTAATGTACATAAATGTAACTATTTAGTATAAAATTTTACATTATTGTCAGCCGCATGCCAGCTTTTGTTGTCTTTGCAGGAGTCGTTTGCCATACAAACAGCGTTAAAGCATATGGCTGTGCGGCTAGCTTTGTTTATTTGTACCTTGTATGCGTGCATGTGTGTATGTGTAGTGGTGTGAGTTTGTATTTGCTGGTGAGTTAATTAAAGGTGATAGGTTCTTGTAATAAAAGTTTTTTTCTGTACAAATTCAGTTTTAAGCAGCGTAGTTCTTGCGAGTGTGCCAGCACTGTACTCTGTACAGTTAAAGGATCTCCACTAATGGATAGCTTTGACTGGGCTTAACTTTGTTAAATATGTAGGTAAATATGTACGTAAACATATGCGGATATTTTGATTTGATTATAAGCAGAAACTAAAATTTGTTCAATGAAATCAAAAAGAAACTTTCATTGTTGTGGCGCAGGCAAGTATTCGCGGAAAGACAAGAGCATTCAAATGAGGTAAGCAATATTATTAGCCGGGTATATAAATTGAAATTAAATTTAGTCATACGACTTAAAACTAAAGTAAGAAGTAGGTCTTTTAAAAATTGAGACGAATATTTACAATTGATATAAAAGCAAATGTTCCTTCTTTTGCATGATTTGTTTCCTTTGCTTTAATTTATTTGACTTTAAAAGCTACTTTGAAAGCTTATCCGCCTGGACATTGGTGCGGGTTTAGTTGAATCAACAATCAGCATTGCCGCTGCTATAGTCTTGCGTCAGCGAGTTGGTCGTGCATCCACGATGCATCAAAACGATATGGAACAATTTTAAATAAGAGGGATAAAGAAAACGAAGTGAGGAAACCGCTCGCTAGAGTACCAAATGAAAAGGCGGTAAGCCCTGCTTCCGACAGTCGGGTGGTAAAATGCTACTTTAAACATCACATAAAGAGCCCTTGGGAGCCATAGATCACCCAAAAGATCGTTAGAGCGAGCGCTAAGCCTGGGCGAAAGAAACTCTGGGTCAGGTAGGGCGAAATTTCGAAAAGAAACATACAAGTGGTGATTCAAGAGCTAGCTGGTTTTATTAAATGGCAGATTATCGAAAACCTGCCGTCCTCCAAGGTCGCTAGACGAGAGAATGGCAGTGATGACAAACCATTGACCTCAGGTGTCTACATAAGTCGAAAAGTAAGCTGAAAGACTGGTTGGTATACATGGGCTACCCGACTCTTCTGAAAAGCTAGGTAAAAAAGCGAGCCAACAGCTAACCACAGGGCGGGTAAACTGTAGGGACCCCTATGGATAGAGTAGCAGCGAAAATGGAAATATGTAGAAAGCTGGCAACCAGAATAAAGACCAATAATAATGCCAGCATTGAAATACAATGGATGCCAACAAGTGCTACTTTAGACTGGGTAGGGGACGAAGGCGTAAATTCCGCTTTCGAAGTACAAAAATCGTACAAATTACGCATGAACAATGAAAACATCTAATGTGGCGGCCCTTGGAGTATTCTAGAAAATTACTATTTTTCAACCGACTTAAAAAAAATATTTTTTTTTTTAATTTTATACAATATATACATCTTGGAAATGTAATTTTTCATTTAATTTATTGTACAATAATTCCAGCTTAGGCCGAGACCCCGCAATGAGCGGCATTTCTGAGCGGCTGAGGCATTTTTGTATGGCGCCACTCAGCCGCTCGCCACTTTGCCGCTCATTGCGTGGCCTCGACCTTCAGGATATCTTTCAGCAGGTCATCCTTGCTGCAGATAAACTTCCAGCACAGTAAAATGGTTTCAAACGAGCTGACAACGTGCGGAAAAGTAGTTTCTTTTAAAAAGCTCTTCATTTCGTGCCTCGAACTGAAGCCACAACCATTCCTATGCGCTTTTTTAGGATAATACGGAGCATATTATTTATATTGAAGGTGACATAGGTAATTTCCAACTTTTGTGCTTAAATGATTGGTTCTACCGTCATAAACTCAACACGTTCAGATACAGGTAAATAATCGCTGCAGTCAAACGGCATGAAATGACTTATGCCACTTTCAAAATAAACCGCTCATATCATGGATATTCGTTTGCAGAAAAAATTTAAATTTATAATATTTGTATTTGAGAAAGTCTAGGGTTTGTAAAAATAGATTACATCAAGCAATTAAAACAAAAAAAATCTAATTTTTAAAATTTACTTGGCAAATTTTTCTTTGAAATCATTGTTTTTTTTTAAAGGTTATATATTTGTTAAAAAAAAAAATTGTGTATGTAACGGGTGATTTTTTAAGAGCTTGATACCTTTTTTTTTAAAAAAAACGCATAAAATTTGCAAAATCTCATCGGTTCTTTATTTGAAACGTTAGATTGGTCCATGACATTTACTTTTTGAAGATAATTTCATTTAAATGTTGACCGCGGCTGCGTCTTAGGTGGTCCATTCGGAAAGTCCAATTTTGGGCAACTTTTTCGAGCATTTCGGCCGGAATAGCCCGAATTTCTTCGGAAATGTTGTCTTCCAAAGCTGGAATAGTTGCTGGCTTATTTCTGTAGACTTTAGACTTGACGTAGCCCCACAAAAAATAGTCTAAAGGCGTCAAATCGCATGATTTTGCTTATTTACGAAGCCATTCAACCAGAAATGAGCCTCATCGCTGAACAAAATTTGTCGATAAAAAAGCGGATTTTCTGCCAACTTTTCACACATTCAACACATTTCGAACCGAACACTGATTTTGGTAATAAAATTCAATGATTTGCAAGCGTTGCTCGTTAGTAAGTCTATTCATGATGAAATGTCAAAGCATACTGAGCATCTTTCTCTTTGACACCATGTCTGAAATCCCACGTGATCTGTCAAATACTAATGCATGAAAATCCTAACCTCAAAAAAATCACCCGTTATTTATTTCGCTGATTTAATTTTTTTAATGATTTAGTTTTTTCTTTGAAATTTTTTATTCTGGTTTTGTTTTAAATTTGTTACGTATTTTGTAAAAAGGTGATTAAAATAGTTTTTTACTGATTTGGAATATTTTTTAATTTTAGGGGTTTGACATTTTATGCTTTTATTATAGGTAACCATTAAAGTGCGAAAAAAATTTTTTTTAAAGTTATTTTAAGACGATCAAAATTAAACTTTTCAACAAGTCAGTTATAATTAAAAAAAAGAATCATTTACTAAGCTTTACCTTTTATAGATTTTTTTTTATAATTGAGTTAAGGTGAAGTGAATTGAATTGAAGTGAGTTCAGGTAAGGTGACTTTTGATAAGCTAAGTTGAGTTTAGATAACTTAAGTTGAGTTATAGTCAGTTCAGCTTAGGTGAGATGAGTTGAGGTAAGATAAGGTGAGTTGAGGTGAAATAACATTAGTTGCGGTGAGTTGAGTGGAGGTGAGTTGAAGTAAAGTGATGTGAATTGAGTTGAGTTGAGATGAGGTGAGTTGTGCGTGGGGCGAATTAAGGTGAATTAGGATAAACTGAGAGGAGTTGATGAAACATAACGTAACATAACAAACATTAAACAAAACATAACATAACATACCATAACATACTATAACATAACATAACATAGCAAACACAACTTAAGATAACGTAACAGAACATACCATAACATAACAAATCTCATTCTTAAGTTTTATCTTTTTCCATGCCTCTAACTTTATCTCTATCTCTTTTTCTTTATGTTTTTAAACGATTTTTTTTATGTCTTTACAAGACCAAAAAGTATCCACACACAAAAGAAGAAAAAGAAAAACTTGTCCGACGCCACTGTGGCAAACACTTTTATTGAAGGAAGATTAAAACAATGTACATTGACCAATAAAAGAAAAACTGCAGATATCAAACTGTGTGCTTTATGCGAAATTACAATATAATCACAGCAAACACAGTAAACATCCTTTATTAATAATCGATAAAACAAGCAATCAACAAACTGAAAATACATTTGTTAGTTACAAACTACTACGAGTAGGGGGAAAAAATGTTACAAACGAATTGTACAGAAAATTATCGAATAATGGCAAGTTGTGTGAAACTATTTGAAAGAGATGTAATGCGAAGGGGCAATAAACCGGGCGGTAGCAGGTAGCAGACTGTGATAGGACAAATGTGCAGAAATATATTTACTCGATGAGGCGTAAGCGATTAAGAGGCGAGCAAGTGGACGATTGTGAATATAAATAGACAATCGAATAATAAATATACATGCAAGTTTTATATCTGTACATTAGCGTGGAACACTCTAGACACAAAAAAA